AAATATTTCATGTTTCATTGCTGACAGGATGAATACCTGCAGCTATCAGCTGTCAGAGACTCATACAGGCCCCCAGTGTGAGCAGCACACATAGCAAACCACAGGTAAACATCACCTGTGCAGTGGATCAAAACAACAACAAACATGTGTATAATTAAACTCTGAAGGACTTTCTATGGCACCAGATGGCCTCCCTATGCATCACCAAGCCACGCCCACCACACAGTCTCAGAATAACCAATCATAGCACAGTGCCAGCTGACTGGAATTAACCAATGAGAGGAACCCGTGCAGGACTACGTTGGTTTGTTTGTGTATAATAATCTGAGCAGAGCAACCAATTAGATTTGATCATGTTCAGTGATCTGAAAGTTAGACTGACCACAAGCAGGAACAAACAGGCAGCACACGGTGTGTGTGTGTGTGTGTGTGTCCATCACTCCACTGCAGACACTGACACATCAATCTTTGTGAACAAACACAGATGGACACGAGGTGACTGCAGGATTTTTAATACCCATCATGCACTGCATGCAGTCTGATGACAGATGATGCAACAGTCGTGACATCGACTCATTTTGGTTCCTGCACACAAATGTTCTTCTCTTCCTTTTCATGGAGGTGATTGATGAGGTTGGCGGCGCTGTGACTCATCACTCGTCTCTAATCCACGTCTTTATTTCAGCAGCTGATTGGGCGGATAACTTCACTGTTACAATATGTAAAGAGGAAGCCCCGCCCCCGCTGTACTGCACACGTCATCACATCACAAACATCATAGACCAGGTGAGGAGGGCAGGAAGTCAGACACAGGAAGCTCAGGTAAATTTTCCAAACAAAACACTATCATCAGTCACACAGAGTGTGTGTGTGTGTGTGTGTGTGTGTGTGTGTGTGTGTCTGCGAGCAGAAAGCCTGTCTGTAATTGTGCAGACAGTGCTGAGAGGAGAACGACCCACGGCACAGTGAACACTCGCGCTCACATGCTGTGTCATCATGAAGCAACTGCTGGTTTTACACTCAGGGGAAGGAAGGAGATGCTGTTTGATTTTCAGAGATAAACCTGAGTACAAACAGATCTTTGCACAGCAGCGTTTT